GTAAATACATAGGAATTGAGAGGTACGTAGGTTAAATTCCTTAAAAATATTAATCATCATTTGGTTCAGCCTGCATCAATATATACAGTAGAAAAGCGGAGTGTTTTGATTCCAAGAAAAAGTAATAGCCTAGCGCTCAATTTAACTAGAATATTTCATCCATCATCCCGAATGTGTGTGTGTGTGTGTGTGCGCGCGCGCGTATGAGAAAAAAAAGCACCAGTGGTGCGAAAATATTTCATCAACCATCATAGCTTTTCTGGTGAGAAGAGGTTCCTGCAAATATGTATTTGTTGAATCCAAAAGTATCCGGAAAATACACTCACGGAATAGAACATTCTAGTAGTAAATTATTAGAGAGAGAAAAAGAGAGAGTAGTAGAGAACCGTAAAAAGAAAGTAGTCTTTATTCATGATATGGACCTCCTATTTATAGGCATAGGTCACAATATTACAAAAGTACATATTGGTTCTCTCATCGTTGACTTTTTAGAAAGACTTTTTGGTAATTATAGAGTTATTAGCATATAAAAAAACCAGGAGATTAATTTGATCAATAAAAGTTTGTCGGCCTTCAAGTCAGCCTTCACTTGATCGATATCTAATCCGAAAAAGAGTCCATATCGGTCGTCTTGAGGGCTGATCCCCACCCTACGAAAAATTTCCTAGCACGTTTCTTCGATCGCTCGAACAAGACATCTCCCTTGTCAACATCCAGCTCAAGACAGTGGTCAACAGATATGCCCGATCTTCAATATCATCCTCCTAAGTCGTTCATCTGATTTGAGATTCGTGCTGACATATTTTTATATGTACACATTTTGTTCTCTGATTCTCTTACTTCTCGGAAGCTGCATAGTAAATGAGGACAGAAGAATCTTTTTACATGTATGAAATAATTAAATTACATTATTGCGCAATAAAGGACTTCATTGGATTTTTGTGCTCGGACCACTATAAATAGGCATTGGGGTAAGGAGGGTTTGTATCGTTTCGTTTTCTTCAAGCTCCTTTAGTCTTCTATCTCTTATTTTTTTGTGCTCGGACCACATTCGAGACCCAGGTGGGATATCACACTTCCTGAATGTACCCCGCCTCCTCCATCTTTTGTACTTCCTCTCGGATGGGCCCCACCAACATTATAGCTGAGCTTCTGCTCTTCAGCTTCATGGGTCGAGCCGATTGATTGACATTCAATATGTGGCATGTAGCGGCGATTAGCACGCGCGACATCTCAGTGGTCGTTCGCACGAAAACATCTCAATTTTCTCGGAGGGTTTGGATCAGCAGCTCTTTGTGATCTGCATCAAAAGCTTCCCTTATCAGAAAACATCTACTTGGTTCTCCTTCGACCGTCGGAACTTTACAAGTGGTCTCGTTGGACTTGAGGCCACCTTCCCTTACGTTCTAGATATCTAAGAGGGCATGCTCCATGTTACTTATGGCTCGTAAGAAGCAGACCCGGGACTGTTCCAAGTTACCCCTAATCGTGAGAATTTCTCCATCTCCAGGAAACTTGACTGCAACATGGTAAGTAAAGACCACTGTCCTGAAATCATTCAGTAGCGGTCAGCCGAATAAAACATTATATGTCGGAGGTGAATCCACCATGAGGAAATCTTCTGTGAGCGTAAATTATTTCTCGTTCTCTCCCCAACTTACTGGGAGCCCGACCACTCCCAGCGCTTCCTTCCATTCACCGGAGAATCCATATAGTGGTCCGGTCAGCACAGTCATCTGATCAGTAGGCTCAGTTTGTCAAATACTTGCTTGAATAGTATATTCACAGAACTCTTTGTATCAATAAGAACGGTACCTACTAGATAATTGTTAATTATCATCATTATTACAATGACGCAGTTATATGGGTTTCTCTTTGAGGGGGGGAGATCCTCATTAGTAAAGTAAATAGGCGGATGACCCTTGAGTTTCGGGGAAAAGGTTGTGGCGCAAAGTTCCCCCGTTTGATGTCTCTTCTGATTTGCTCCCTTGGGTGTTTCGCTTCCTCCAAAGATTGTGGGCACGTATCCCACTAAGTAGATGGCACTGGCGTGGATGGGCCCGTCGGTCATTACTCCTGTGGGAGCTTTGACTTGCCTTTGGGTTGTGACTTCAGTGGCAACAAATTCTTTCAACTTCGCCTCATTTATCAGTTCATCGATCATGCTTCACAAGTGTCTGCATTCTTTTGTCATGTCAGTCATCTCTGTGATACTTGCAATACTTCCAGCTATCTCGAAGGAAAGCTCCAGCTCTCATTAGTGTCACCTTTTAGAAGAACTTATCTTGAATGGCGTCCACTATTTACTCCATGGATACCCTCAGTGGGGTTTGGGGTTTGGGCTTCGGGATTTCCTCGAGATTCATGGTACTGAAACAATCGGGAGTGTAGGGCCTTCGTTTGTCTCCTCTGATCCTCATGGAGGACGGTGTAGTTGTTACTGGAGGGACCTTCATATGATCAGCCTTGCACTTTGTCTGGGGGACCTCCTGCTATCTTGCGATAGCCATTTCTGATGCCTCAGTTTGGTTGGTTATGGGGAATTCTCATAGGCGGTGATGTACTTGTTGGCCATCACTAGTAGTTCGACTAAGCTCTGTGCCTCTGCTAGCGTCAGGTTTCAAGTCCTTGACATTTAGCGTTTCGCTTTGGAAGCATGCGATAAATAGTTGCACGCTCTCGTTGGCTCCCTGCTTCAGTCGCCACAAAGATCGGGTGCTCTTTTTAGGCCTCAAGGAACTAACTAATTGTGATAGGAAGAGTCTTCTGAACTTCGCAAAACACATGGACAGTTCGAACGACACAAGGTGGTCGTTAGAATCCAACCGTCCTTTATACGGCTCTAAGATCGACATCTTGAACTTCTCTGGAGATTCAACTCTAAAAACCTGTAGGGAGAAGGCATTTTATGGCTGCCTTCTGTACCTCGGTCCACACTGGTCGATTTCTCTCCCCCACGGGAGCAAATCTGACGTTGTCTTGGTCTAGACCGTCTCGTGCTAGCCCTACTCCTGGAACCGAGGCCACTGCTAGGGCAGTGACTGCTCCAAGTACTTTTGCGAATTGTCCAAACTTCTACTTGGTGATCTGAGTTCTCAAATATTGCAGGCTCTGTTGAATGAATTTTTTCAGAAATTCTTGGGTGCATGTTGCTTCTACGTTCCTCTGACTGGACTCTCCCTCCTGTTGTTGTTTAGCTCCTCTTCTTGCTGAAGTCATTTTTACACACTCAACGCATCTTAAAAGATGTTAAATCTAAATGTGCCCGGGGAACACAGTCAGGGAATATAAAATTCTGTTATGAAGCGATTAGAGAGAGAGAGAGAGCACAATACAGAACAGTAAAATAGAGTGTAGCTCTTATGGATGATATGGACCCCCTATTTATAGACATAAGTAACAAAATTACAAAAGTATATAGTGGTCCCCTCGTCATTAACTTTTTCAGAGAGATTTTTTTTGGTAATTATAAAGTTATTCGCATATAATAAAGCTGTAGAACCGATTCGATAAATAATAGTTTGCGGCTGTCATGTGAACTTTGACTTGGTCGATATCTAATCTGAAAGAAAGCTCTCTATCGATCGTCCTGAAGGTCGATCCCCCTGCGGAAAATCTCCTAGCACGTTCCGTCGATCGCTCTAATAAGAGGCTTCTCTTGCTAACATCCAGATCAACACAGTCATCAACAGATATGCTCGATCAGTAAAATCATCTTCCAGAGTCATTCATCTGCCTTGAGATTCATGCTGGCATATTTTTATATGTACAGTGCTATCTCAATTTCTAGGACTGTAGACAATTAGATATTGACCCTACTTAAAATAAGTCGACTAAATTTTAATTATAATCAATAAACAATCTGATACTGAGCCACCATTGACTCAATATCAGCTCAAAATCCTTCAATAAAATTTTGATTCTAATTAACCACTGCTGTTAGCTCAATTATATCAACTCATTAGCTTTGATGTGAAGTAGAATTGATTCAACTTTTCTATAATTTTTTTCTCGAAAAGTTAGTCCAACATACATAGATGTGATGCATGTCAATAAACACAAACGTTCATTTAACCATATTTCAAGCTCAAACTACTCCGATTCAATCAATCAAAGTTTAAATACTTCCAATCAAAGTTTAAGTAATTCCAAATTCAATCTTGGTCAACTCCAGTTCATCAGCCTTTTCAATATCATCCAGTTCGATCCAAAATCTAATTCAATTTTCAAACAATCTTTCAACCGTGAAGTTAAACGGTCATAGCCCAATATATGAGAAACTCTCATTTGAGGAGAGAACAAGTAGTCACATTTTATCTCACATAAAAAATAACTTAGGGAAGAAATGCAAATGGTTAGTCCTCTCTCTTAGCTTGGATTTTTTATGAAAATGATTTTAAACAATGATTTATGAAGCCTTAATTTGAATCCTATTAATCCGCGCTCCATTTGGCTGAAAAATCAGAAGCCAGAAGCATGCTCTTAATTTGGGATGCCCAAAAAACTCATCGTTTCATGTTTGATTCATTCATTAAACTAACGGCCGAACATGGACAATTTTTTTAGCTCAATTTATAAAAGAGTTGAACATGAACAAACATTTGTTTGATTATGTTCAACTCATTTTGTTTCATAATAAATAAATAAAGTCATTAAAATATTTTTATATTAACTTTTCATGTTATATTTAAAAATATATTAATTATTTTTTTTTTAAATCATTCAAGTTAATTTCAAACTAAACACAAGTTGAAACAAACAAATGAATTTGAATCAAGCCGAATATGAACAAGTCATTTCAAACATGAGCCTATTTAGAAACAAAAAAAAAAAACCCCCAAATGAGCTAAATATGAAAAAGCAATGGGAGCTAAAGCACGGCACATTTACACCCCCTACTCCTAATTGCTCCTAAATCATTACTTCAGGTGCAATTGGAAATGCCAAGGAACAAGAAAGACGGTACTGCTTGCACTTTAAAACAACACAAATCAATATAGTTACCTGCTGGTATATTGCTAATGGACTGATTTCAAAATAATAAAATAGTACTCAGATATTAATATAAGTGAAATAAAAAAAGGATCTAAATCTATGAATCATAAACCAACAATTTTTCTATTCAAATGGCCCTTAATGGTATGATGATCTTCACCATCATGGTCATGAAAAATGTAAGTTAGAATTCCAACCAGGCAGAGCACCGAACCTACAAGAAGCTTATCATAACGCTCCACCCAGTGAAACTTTATCTGACTGGCCCCATAAAATGAAAGAGCTACCAGCGAGGTCATTACTGTAATTGTGCTGCAAATCAAGTAATCACCAAACAAAGCATCAGCTTTTCAGTGCCCAACCAAAAAGAAAGCAAAAGAAGCCACAAAACATAATAAAAATGGGGGAAGTAAAGCCATCAGAAGTTCTCAATTATCATATAAAAAGCAAAAGAAGAAACATAACTTCAATGACATCTATTTGCAATGTATTATATAGTTTATAACTTCTTTGAACCAATTTGGCTCACAATAACCAATTAATCAAGATATTTTATGAAATTTCATTTTGAAGATGCCTCCCAATTGCTCCAAATGTCAAAAGTCTAAGAGTCTCTTCCGGAATATCATTTTAAAAAGAATGATCCAATATTTACAACCAGGAAATATAATCAGTCATGACAATAAATTTAAGGTAGGTCTAGATAGATAACATTCACAACTATCAAAATGATATATTCACGCCTAAATTTCACCATTTACAATTAAAGCACCCTAAACATTCAAATAAAAACAAAAATAACACATAATTTAAACGGAAACCCACCATCCCATTCGCCGAACCATCTCTCATGTCAACTACAAGTTCGAAACACCTGCTCAATGATGATGCCCTTGCCACATGCAATCTCCGACGAGCTCTAAACACGCAGGATGTGAGCCCGCCTGCAGTCTCCAACAAGCTCTGCACCTGCTGCTTTCAAGCTCGCCACTATCTCACCCACCTGTCCAGAGTAGATGTCTTTGCCATCTACAAGCTCTAGTGAGCTCACAAGCAGTAGGTGCAAATCTCACCAGAGCCTACAAAGGACAAAGTCGATAAGATGGACGAGCAGGGCAAGCCGGCAGCGAGCTCACAGGCAATATGTGCAAGTACTGGGGGAACTAGCAACTGGAGCAATGGCTTACAGGAAGGCATTTCTAACTCCAGGTAGCGAAGGAGGTGGGTGTCTAACGAGACAGGCTAATGTCATTATCGAGTGCTGGATAACATAAATAGTAAAATTTAGGTGTGAAATATACAATTTAAATAGTTGTAAGTTCTATATATATGTAAATCCCCCGACATTCAATTATTTGGAGGCAAACTTGAAAAATATATCAGATAAGCAATTCCAAGATAACATTTAGTGATGTTTGTTCTCTCTATATATGAATATCTTCACGCTTCAATTTATCAATTGAGAAAATGAAATCAAAATCATCACCCCCATTATCATTCGCTCTATCCTCACTATTATGGGTTAGCTTATGAATCCTCATTTTTTATCCGTTCTTGTTAAATGTTGCCCAAGTTGTTAAAGTTATTCTTCAAAATTAATTTTTAACAACTTAAATCCATGTTATCTTAGGCATATCCTTTCTTCTTTCCCCAGTACCAAATTTATCTACTTTTCTATCGAGTTCATGCTATGTTATTTTTTGTATATGTTAAGACCATCTTAAATCTATTTTCGACTAACTTTTCTTCAATAGAGACCCCTTGAGCCCCACCCACGCTCCAACTTAACTACACCTTTTCCTAATTGTTCCGCCCATCCCCCTTACCTTTCTGATTTTCAATACACGCTGAGGATGAAGCTTAGTTTTTAGGGAAATTTACATACATAGCGCACAATTCTTATGCATTTACATATCTCACACCTAAACTTTCATATTTACATTCATAGCACTTTCATGCTATCAACCTATGCATGAAAAGGTATATTTCAATTTTAAAAAGTGGTTACAGTGTTAATTTTTATGTGAAATTAAAGATTTGAGTGCTATGTGCGTACATTAGAAAGTTTGGGTGTGAGATATGTAGATACATTAGAATTGTGTGCTATGTATGTAAATGGCCCTAGTTTTTATTATTGCCTAGTGCCTAAGCATTTGAATTCATATAACATTACCAGCCTAATTATTATTTAAGAAAATTTATCAAACCTTAAGAGGAATTAAAATCATACTTGGCTTTCAATAATCAACTAAGTTCATGATTTTAAAATTTCAATTTTCAATTCAAGCACGAGGTGCCGGCAAAATAACATAAAAATCATATTCTATTTTTAAGGCTAATATGAGTGCCGGCACACAAACACACATAGCACGATGGTCCCTAAATCCCCAACAAATTGGCTCGTGCCAAAACCACAAACCAACCAACCTAGGGATGGGCTGCAGAAAGAATATTTTGTACATAAGCTATATAAGATCATGTTAAAATCTACAAAATGGAGTACCTAAATAGAAGAACAATAACAGCAAGCACCATCATAGAGGATGAGTTCCCCACAGTAAGAAACACGGGAAGCGTTGTTGCACAAGGAGACAATGCAGGTACAAGAACAAGCCCAGCCACAGCCATTTTCTCCATAGGATGGTTGTGGGAGTGGTTATGACCACCCTTTCCAAATAAAAATGCTAATACATAGCTGCCTCCAAGAAGTATGAGGAGCAGCGAAGCAAGTCTATGAACAGTCTCCTCACCAGCAATGGTGTTAGCCATTGTGACAGCAGTTATGCCAAGAAGAGACGTGGAAATTACATGCAAAACTGCTCCAAATGCAGCTGTCAAATGTTTGAATAAATTTCATGAGCTCATCAGTAAATAGAAATTTAAGAATGCAAAAAACAAAAGTTGCAGAATGAACTTCACTTGGTCAACTATGCTATAAAGTCACACAAAATTACATTCAAAATTAAAATCTACTGAATAAAATCTAGAAAAGAATCACATAATTCAGAAAAAAATACTTAAGAAAAGAATGAAATGAATAGAATTGGGGCATTCACATACAAAGCATATAACTCTTATATATTTAAATATTTAACACCTAAACTTTCTTATTTACATGCGTAACACTTGAATTTTTAACAGCACATCAAAAATACCACTCTTACTAAGTTTATAAAAGTGAAACACTCCTTTTCATGTATAGGTTTATAACACCAAAGTGCTATAATACCAAATATCAAATTTTAGGTGTCAGATATGTAAATGCATAAGAACTGTGTTGTATGTATGTAAATTTCCCAGTAGAATAATGTCAGCTAAGACCGCAGCTACTTGTTGATATCACAGAAACCATTTAAAAGGACATAACCAACATGCAAAAAGTATACACAATAGCAAGCACAAAAAATAAAAAAAATAAAAAAAACCAAATTCATTAAATAGGCTTAAATTATGCCTACACAAACAAATATACAACTAAAACACAGAAAGATAAAGGGAACCAACTTAGGATATGCCAACGCATGTTGGGTACAGGTTTGCCAACATGCAACTCTACACTTACAATTTGAGTGATTGCTTAGCAACGAATTTAAGTAGGATTTAACTTAAATCTGTTAGCCATAAAAAAATGGACAAATTTTAAGTCTTGGATTTAGTAAATCCAGTTTATTCTCAATTCCTCCCAATTTTCTCTTAAATCCCAAATTTATAAAATCCTGGTGCTGACAGGATTTAGTATATCCAAATTACAGGATTTACTAAAGCTGCTACCAGACATACCAGAAATATAGCATAAAAATACTTGAAGGCATGAAATCAGGATGGAATAACATGCCTAAGAATAGCAAAATAAACCCCACATAAGATAAAATACAATCTACAAGATCAAAGAATCCAAACCAGGCATGAGTTCTATCATCACAGCAGGTAGCGTTATTATCTAACAGCATCAGAATTTGCTGAAAAAATAATAGCACTGAATGTGAAAAATAAAGAGCAATCAATACCAGTCAATCTTTACAAGAACAAGAAGCATAACCAAAAGTACTCTGAACGAAAGGGTTCTTCACTAGCTCATGCATCCATTCTTATAATCCTATAGCATGCGGATAAGATCACGTGAACTTCGACGAGGCAAAATTCTATCTTCTCTAACGAATTGATATTCGTTAAACATGATTATATTCATGTTCTATCAATTTCAACCAGAACTACCAAGCATTTAAATGAATTAAAAAAAACACGCAGCATCACACGGAACAAAAATGCAAAAGCATCAAATACTTAGTTTCCAGATCATGCACGGATAATAAACCACATGCCCCCGATTCGTATACCTATTCGATCCAGTACAGAGAACTACTTGTCTTCAATATATTAACCAAGGGGAAAAAAGCCAAGAAGTAATTAGATGCGGAAAACTCACTGACGAGAAGAGTTTTAGCTAGGGTCCATTTCTGCGCTCGCCCGACAATGGAGAAAGGGAGCCAGTGCGTGGGAATGAAAGAATGAAGCAAAGAAACTGTAGCAATTCCTCCGATCTTAGACAGATCCTCTGGATTAATAGCTTCCATTTTTATACGCTGCTTCAGATCTACAAACCAAAGAAGGAAGAATTACAGAAATTGCGACCGCATAAGTCTAATTCCCCTGCATCATAAGTACCAATCTCTGGCTGTAATTCATTAGAAATTTGAGCTTTTTTTAATGAGAAAAAAGGGGAGATAACTGTTAAGAAACGAGAAAAAATTGGATCACGCCTTTGCTTCAGTGCCCTAATTTGTATTCGCATGTGAGATGTGCTTTCGAGCTTCAATGGTATTTTCGCCACTTATGAAATGGCTGATCACTGAAAAAAAAAATATAATAAAAATAAAAATAATAATAGAAGGTGTGTTTAGATGTGGCTTTGATTTAGGGTCTGTTTGGGGGAAAGTATTTGCGTAAATAAGACATACGCAGCGCTGCGTACTTTCAGGGGTTATTCAGGGGGTACAGGGGGGTTATATCGAGGTTAAACCCCTATGTAACCCCCCTATAACCTCTTTATAAACTACATGTAACCTACAAATGAGTTTCGTGCTTCTGTAGTTTCATGGGTACAAATAAGTTACATGAAGGTTACAAGGGAGTTACACGGATGTTACAGGGGGCTATAACCCAGATATAACCTCCCTGTACCCCTTGAATAACCCCTGACATACGCAGCGTTGCGTACGTCTTATGTACGCAAATTTTTTCCATGTTTGGGGGAGTTTATTTGGTGCGGTGGCGTTTTGAAAAAGCACCTGGTTTGTTTGGGTAAACTGCGTTTTGGTAGCTTATGATATTTCAAAACGCTGAAAACAGCGTTTTTACACCGCACCTGTCTAGGTGCGGTGGCAGCTTTCTGACTGCAGTCTAGCTTTTCCAAAAAAATAAAAATTTGTAATAGTTATCGCACCTAGTTTATCAGCAAATTATTTTTAATCAGCTTATCAACAGATTATTCAAAAAGCTGTAACTGTGGGGCAGCTGTTGATTATTTATAATTTGCTGATAAACAGATTATTCTGATAATCTGTAGATCAAAATAAGCTAGCTTATTGTTTGAGACAGCTTATTCAGAACAGCTTACTGGGAGCTGTTGTTGGATAAATGATCATTCTGCCCATGATTGTTCCCCTACTCCTAACACAATTTGCTTCTCAAACAATTGCATACTACAATTGATTGATCTATGCAAAAGTTTAATGTTGACAATCTCTACTTTAATGTCATAATCTATTTATTATTATTATTAGTAATATATTTTTGAGTTATTTAGATGTGAAAACATATTCTTTCAACTGTTCTGATATTTTCCACATATTTTATACTTGTTATGATCATTACCTGTTTCTTTATTACAGTCTTTCTACATTACATTCTTCTAAGTTCTAATTTCTTCCTCCCCGGCACAATTAATAATAAAAAATACAGTCTTTGAAATTCCACAGCTTTCTCCATTGAAAGAGATAGAAGACTTGCCTGCTCCAATGGAAGAAGCTTGACTGACGAGAGTCATGTTAACAAACTACGTTTGTTCCGTCTTCCTGCTTCTCTCAGGAGTTATCAGGAGGGATTCGACGATTCCCAAATCAGCGCGCAACTGGACTAGTACTGCCGTCCATATCGCCAATAACCCCATCCACGAATGTCGTTTGGGAAAGGGAGAAGAAGAAGAGGAAGAGAGGGAGAGGGGAAGGAGAAAGTTCGTCTATGGGAGACTAGCTAAAGGAAAAGGCATACATTACGCAGAGCTAGGGCAGGAGACGGGAGAGTGGGGGGTGCACAATATTGAGAGTGGAGAACAGGGGAGATTGATCGCAGAGATAGGGCAGGAGACGGGATCGAGGGGCTGCTCCATAATAAGCTGTTCCTAAACGCGAAACGCGGGCCTCTCCCAGCGGTGAAAGATCCACCAGATCGTAACATAAACCCTTACGCGCGATCCCCGATCGCCGACCCCAACGCATTAACCAAACTCCTTCACGGCGTTGCGAAAACGCCAAACGCAGCAATAAGCTGCGCCAAACGAACCCTTAGTCTTAAATTTAGGAAATAATATAGTGCACTATTCAAAATCTTTAAAATACGACTGTTCAAAATATGATGCACTATTTCATTTCTTATCAAAGAGTTATGATTTTGCTTGTGGCCAAAAGGTTTTCATGCAGTTCACTAGTTAGATTTAAGACAATAACCAAGTGTTATTTGCGAACAATAGTTCAAATGAGAAATATTGAGGATAAAATCTGAAAATAATTGCGAGAAGTTTAAAATGACTGTTAGTTTAACTGCATTTAAAATATTTACATTAACTTGTGTTTGTTTGATTTTTTTTAATCTGAATCAATGAAATTATATTACTTTTCTAGTATTTTTTGTTATTATTTTGCGGTGTTATTGTAAAGTTATTTTGATGGAGATATTGTTTTGGTAGTATGTATTGTTATTATTTTTTGGATATTATGTTGATTTTGAAGTGGTATTGTGATCTTATTTTGGCAGTATTGTTCTATTATTCTGATAGTGTTGTAATAGTTTGTGGTGTTATTAGAATAATATTATGATTGTATTTAGGTGTGGTTAAGGTTGTATTTTATTCAAATTGTGGTGGTTTTATGGTAGGAATGTGAAGGTATTGTGATTTGTTAAATTGACTATTTAAAATATTTATACGAATATAATTGTGAAGGTATTGTGATTTGTCCAACCTGATGAGATTGATTCATTCAATTGACTATTCAAAATATTTATTCATATAATGGATGATAAGTATCCAATAACAATTTTTACTAATCAGGATCAAGCGATGACAAGACCTATAGAAGATTCTCTGTCACATACACAGTATAGATTATGCAGTGACATATCTATAAGAAATTTTCCTCGAAAGTTCATTGTGGTGTGGGTAATATGGCAGTCAACGATTTTTCTACAAATACATGAGCAAATGTCACTATGAAGTGGAGTTTGAACAAATTTGGGCTGTCATGATTGACAAACGAAATCTACACGATAACGTTTGGCTAGATGATTTGCACAACATTAGATATAAATGGTCTACTATCTTTAATAAAGAAATATTTGGAATGAGGATCCTATCAACACAAAGAAGTGAGTCTATAAATAATGTTTTCATGGTATCTCTAAGCCAACAAACTTTCTAACCGATTATTTTTTGAGACTTGAAAATATCATGAAAGCATGAATACAAAAATGAGAATGTGAGGATTTCAAATTTGTTCATTCTGTAATTGCTCCCGTTACTAATAGCAACTTAGTGTTGAGGTCGAAAAATTCATTTTATTCAGAGAACCTGTATTCAGTGTTTGAGGACGAATTATTACATGAGTTAGGTAGTTTTGTTGTAGAATTCTCTGTAAATAGTGCTTTAGAATTTTACATTAAAAATATGGATAATCAGGGGACAAATAAAACTTGGATTGTGAAATTTGAGAAGTCTAATTTTCAAATTAGCTGCATTTGCAAAAAATTTGAAATGATACCCGATAAATATATCTTATTGTGATGTTTTGTTCATGCTAAAAGGGACATCTATAACGATTATGGATATATATATCTCAAAGAGACACAAGTGAGGAATGACTATTCAAGTGGCCTCATATTTCGCGCACACGTCAAAAAGTTTTCATATCAAATTAGTACTAAAACACAAAGAAATGAAAAAAAACATAGCAATACATGTTGGAATCACTAAAAAAATTATTCATTGATGTTGATGGCACACTAAGTGGGTGTCGGTCGCCATACGGCTGGGTGTGATTTAATTTAGTGTAATATAGTATTTAGAAAATTAAATATTTTAATTTAAAGAAAATGGGGTCAAACTGATCTCATTGATTTCTACAGTTTGAATAATCGAGCTAACCACAAGTAACATACCACCTGAAAGGTAATACATTACTTGATAATAAGCTCAATTAAATAAAATATATAAATAAATGACTTTCGTTTGATCTGCAAGTTTGCATGATGATCGACAGATTCTCCTATTCGATATGAGAGTCAAATATTGTTTATTTTAAGTCTGCGTTCTTTTAAGTTCCCTATAAGGGTAAGCCCCTATAGTTAATTACATCTTAAGCGAACGGAACACTTAAAAAAACTCTCGATAAAAATCAGGAATCTTTTGTTTTCATGAGTTCAAAATGAAGGGTTTTCAACGAACATGATTGTGAAATTTTCAACAGGGATTGGTTCAAAGGTAAAAGATTTTGTTTTAAGAATCAAAGAAAGAAAATAAGGGGAGATTAAAGGTCCAGAATAGATTCTTGGTAATCCCTTAAACTATCCTAATGTTTGGCTCAATTTAGGATGATATAAATTTAAGTTAACTCTTGCCAGTTTTATTAATTAGGGCTTAGATTTGTGTAATGATGATTTACACAAAAAGCTTAGAAATATAAGAGGTTATACGTCAAGTGACTATCTCAGAATCCTAATACAAGTTAGGACATGTTGCATATCGGGACTATGCAGGAGCCTAAAAAAAAGAGGTTTTATGTCATAAAAGACAGCCTCGAAATCCTAAATATTGTTATTTAAACTAAAGAAATATCTTGACCGAGCTGCCCACGAAGTCTGCCCTAAGTTCCTTGTTAAAGTGTCTTCAAGTCTTCGAGTCCTTCGATCTTATTATTAAAAGTTTATTTGTTTCGATAATTTTGCAGTGAATTAATTAAAGGGCAGTAGAAGTATAGTTCAAGCCTAAGCCCTAGCGTTATGATTTCTAGGTTCTCCCAAATCTAAATAATTTTTATTCCTTCATTATTTGTCCTTAACACATGCATTCTATGTTTTATAAAAGCAGTAAAAGAACATATATTATAATTCAAAGCAATAAATAAAGAAAATAAATAATATTAGATTTGTTATTAAATTTATTGAATTAAATAGTGGTAACCCAGTCAAGATATATATGGCTTTGTCGTCCCGAGTATTCAGATGTCATAGTTTACTTAGTCTAAAAGGTGGTTGCCCGCCAGGATCGAAAGATTCTTGTCAACATCCACATAATGCATCATCCAAGAAATCATTGTGAACTAGAACAAAAAGGGGTTTAAATTGTGTTGTGTGATCTTTGTGATTAAGATTTAATTGATCCTTGACTTACTTTATCAATTTTAGGGTTGAAATATTTTAGGTTGTTTACATCTTGTTGTCGGATTTGAAGTGTTTTATTTTAGTTATTTTTGTTCATTTGTTATTACTTATGTGAATTTGACGACTTCGAAGCTGCTTAACCTCAAAGCCATACTTTAAAGCCTTGTTGCATTTGGTTTTGTTTAA